AATATTCATAGAATGAAGATATATAAGAACATGTGTAAGAGAGAGAGTGAATTCTTCAAATATTTTAAATTTAATATCGAGCAAGTTAAATAATAATAATTGATGAGAAGATAAATATTGTAGTAATCATTTTATTAACTAATTAATAATGATCAATAAAAAGGAAATGATTTTTCTTTGATTTAATTTCGTTTAACTAGATTTTCATTGTAAGTCAAACTTTCATTTTGTTTTTCTAATTGGATTCAATTATTAAATAAAATTAATCAGAAAATATCCTTATTGCTTTTTTAATATTTTTCTTTAAAACAAGTTGAAGATATTGAATTATAGTTTTGACTAAAATTGAATAAAAGTAAATGTTATTTTTTTCAAAAGATTGCTCTTTTATATCTTTGCTCAATAAAGACAAGATTAATTTCTCTATTAGGAAACATTTATTTACTTTTTTTTAAATTTCTTTTTTTTTGATCCGAGAACGGTTCGATGAGAAAAATGATGAGATTTACTTCAATTGAAAAAGCATTTTATAGTTTGAAGTATAATCATACGCTGTATTCAATAAAATCTCAATAAATAATAATAAACTTCGAATTTAGTATTCATATATATTTTTCAATACTTATCTCAAAATTATAACCTTATTTTATTTATTTAAAATCTTCGATAAATAAAACAAAAGCATCAATAGTCTAAACAAAAATCTATGATTTGTTTAAGTATTCTGTTATTCATTATTCGTCTTTATTTATTTCTCTTTCTACGTCGAATCTTCAATACTTTGAAATAATATGTTTGATTAGAGAAAATTTTCTTGTTTCATCATGTTTTTAATAAAACCAACAAAATCTCATATACACCATGTGGATATCAGAAGAATTTCTCTTCAATATCTTATCTAATCAAATTTTCGATCATTTTCCGATCGATTATCGACATTAGTATTTTCGAGAATTTATTCATTAAAGACCTAGAAAAATCAACTTGAATCAATTTTTTATTTTTTAACAAAATCAGAAACTTCCGAATTGAATCAGAATTAAATTGTTAGTCAATGAGTAACGGAATTACTCGAACGATTTTACGATTATAATAAAGGACGCGTGGTATGTAATTTGTTTCTCAGTTTTCATCATAGTAACTAACAGTATGAAAATCGATTTAAGATATATTCGTATTGTTTTTAAACTAAATAGATCAAATTCAATGCTATCTTTATTAATTATTTGTGAGCTTTATTCTTAAGAAAAAAGATTTATCATACATTCATACAGGATTTCAAAGCATACTACACTATGTGTATAAGTATACGACTAAATAATTCTTTTCCTCAAATCAGAAAATACATAAGTTATTATACATATATATATGCATGCTTTTGAAGATTGATTTTTTAATAGTTAGTTGATGATTATGATATATGACCTTTAAATCTATCATGGTTATGAACACAAATTGGTCTCATATTGGATCTCACTATTGTCGAAAATATATCATATGGCTGTTCACCACATACATTTACTTATGAATATATCATTGATGCAGTTAGACAAGCTCATTCTTATAACTTTATAAAAGCATTACTGCAGGTATATTTCACTCTTTTTATATACTTAAAAAAAATTCAATTTTTATCTATATGATATGTTGAACTTTGAAAACAGGCTGCTTTATAATAAAAAAAATGATTATTTTATAAAATTTTAGGGCTATGATATACCTATAGGATTGAATGGAACTTCATTTTTATCTGGAGGTCAAAAACAGTGTATTCATATTGCACCAGCTCTTTTCCGTAATCCAAAAATTCTATTACTTGATGAAGCAACGAGTGCGTTGGATGTATATAATGAAAAGGTAAATCAAATTTGTTTGTCTATTTTTTATAAAATACAAATTGATAAAATATCAGATCTTATATAATATTTGATTCTATTATTTCTATCTTGTTGAAATTTAGAAATGTAATTCATGGTAGATAGTTGAAAAATTTTGACACTATTGAATAAGTAGAAATCAATTAATAGCCAAAAATTTTCATGTTATTTCTGATCTTTTTCAGCTTGTTGAAGAATCGTTGAATGCTGCACGGCAAGATAATCCATCACGAACTATAATTATTGTTGCACATCGTCTTTCTACTATTCAATCATGTGATCTTATTCGTGTTCTTAGTCCTAATGGACGATTATTGGAAAGCGGTACACATGCGGAATTAATGGCACATGGCACTGCTTACCGTAGATTTGTACTTGATCATATGTGAGAAATAGAATGACTATAAACTTTATTCAAAATGATATCTCTCAATCTTTGGCATAAAAATGGATTGAGACTTGTTAGTCTTTAATGTATAATATCATCTCTTAATTAAGAAAAAATTCGTATTAATATTATTAAATGACAAAGATTTATTTTAAAAAATAAAGATAGCTTCATGGATCAAAGCCGAAGTGAATTAAGTCAAATAAAATCTGAAAACTAATTACGAATTAGAATGTTGTATAGTTTTTCTATTTTTTCTTATCGTTGAGAAGGTCACGAATTTAAATTATATATATTTATTTAATATAATATAATGATTTATAAATAGAAAAGACCACCAAGTTTAGAAATAAATATTCTGTATTCCATCAGGTCACTTGTCAAAAATTATATATTTTTAATACAGAGTATCATACAACAAAATAAGCGATAGAATTAATTTTGATATTTATATTAATGAATGTTTGCCACGACGGAGAGCGAAATCACTTGAACTTATCACGAAGAAACCGCTAGATCATTCATTGCACTCTTTTGGTTACCTTGTTGTCTAGAACCTCACTCACACTCACAATTTATTCATTCTTAGGATTAGTCGTCGATTTCTTTTTCAATTAACTGATGAATTAAAATAAAAGCTAGTATGAATTCAAAAAAACATTGATTTTACCTTATATTTCTATTTAAAAGTTTCTTTCTATTAATTTTGTCGCTTGAGATTATTCTTAATAGATTGAATATCTTATTTATTTTTGCTAAGATAAATAACTTTCAATTGACATATTCTTATAAAATGCAAGATTATATAATTATTCATTCATCAGCAAATAAAGAAAACAAATATTATTTTTCATACATCAAACACGTTTAAAATAAATCATAGATTCTTTATCACATTTCCTATACGATTGTAGAGTACTAAATATGATTATATCAATGAGCCGTTCATAACTGAAACAGTCAATAAGGAAATTTGTTTTACTTCATCCTCGAGTCATACATATCAAGGAGAAATGGAAAGAAAAAATAAAAATAATTTATATATAGACATGTACTTGAATAGGTATTTCTCTCGAGTGCTTTTAAACTTCTATGAATGAATGAAAACATGGATTGAGAAATTCTCTGTCTTATTGTTTTGTGTGTATTTTCCATGTAAAGAAAATTTTGGAAGATGGTCACAAAATAATCGATTGTTTTCATACGATCTTAATCAATAATTTTAACAGTAATAAGTACACATAAATCGACTATTTTCTTTGTATAGGTTGTAGGGATATACTTTAATGAAAGCAATGTGACCGACGCATTGCTGCTTGAGGTCACACAATTTCTCTTTGATAGGAGAATAGGATACAGCCGTCAAAACGTTTCATTTGTACCATTAAATCATATGTATTATTTGATGTTTTCCATTCGACTCAATCAGGAAAATCAAAAGAAATAAATTATTCTCTGTATTTTTGTTATCTAAATGCAATAAATTCCTTGATACAAACCAACGGAACTGAATTAAATCAAGTATCCGACAAATATGAAGTCATTGTTTTCCTATTATTCGTTTCTAATTTCATTCATTTATTTAAAAATACCTGATATGTTTAAGAAATTCGTTATTTTAAAGATTCATGAGTTATAACCAGTCTATAATTACAATCCTTTAACATGAATGATAGTATAAATTTTAGTTTTTGTTACATAAATATATTTCTAACTCGATGTCATAATGAAGGTTGAAGCAATTATTTATGTGTAATATTGATTTGTAAATAAAAATCATATTAGTATTCTTTTCGGTTGAGGAAGGTTAATTGACATTTATTTTCCATACTCTTCCTTTATTTATTTATTTAAAAACAAGTTAGCTTTTGAAATGCACTGCATATCTTTATTACACATTTATATATACATATTATAAAGACACATTGTCTTTGTTAATCGTTTCATAATAATACAGGCAATGTTTAACAAGCGAAAAACAAAGACAACGTGTCTTTATAATATGTATATATAAATATATCGAATATTAGGTATAGTAAAAAGATATTTGATGAAGAAATGCAATGCATTTCGAACGCTAACTTGTTTTTAAACAAAGGAAGAGTATGGTAAATAAAAAATCATATTATTAATGAAAATTATATCTGGTCTTATAGAAAATATCATTAGTATTATGTAACTATTTGGAAATGAATGATGATCTTAAAATAAAATTGTATCTATTATAAATATATATAAATTTTATTGTAGAAGTGGATTGATGATTTTGATTTCTTATACCTCTTTAATTTATTTTATTGTTTTCTTCACGGTTAATAAAATTCTAATTTGTATAGAGATTAAAAGTAATCGATAATTTATTTTTTTTATCTATAAATGCTTTAGAATTAGATTTGAACGCCTTTTTACATATGATATTCTCATTTTTTTTTAGTTTTTCTCAATCATTAAATTTACTATCTCTGAGTCTTTAATGAGAACGTATTGCTCCTACGCGGCAGATAGGAAGAAAATATTAATTAGATTTGCATCTATGAAAAAATATCTAAAATTTCTGCCTTTTACATAGTGTTGCCCACGTTTTTTGATAATATAAGAGAAAACAGATAAAATAGGTATAGGACGAAAAATCAGTGAAGCAAAGAATATTCAATCATTCTTTATACTAATACATATAGACCCATAATAAGCTTCATGCTTCATAATAATTTGTGTTTGAGAAAAAGAAGAAGAATATGAGCGATAAAGAGCCACTATTAAAGAAATATAACAAATTACTTGATGACAATGATAGTGACAATGAAAACAAAAGGTATGATTTAAAAAAAAAAATAATATTGATGAACACATAAGAACTTATCATTATTTATAGTTTTTCTGATTGGCGTCAATATTTCAATCGGCAAAAGACTAATGCTAGGAATAAAAAGTTAGATGATGAGATCAAACAAACTACTAAAGATATTCCAATTAGTGTTTTACAATTGGTAAGTATATTCTAACAAGAAATATCATAAAAGAAAGCATGTTGTTTTTCTTTTTAAAATATATATGTGAATTAATTCATTTCATGTAATGATAGTTTCGATTTGCTGACCGTATTGATATTCTTCTTATAATTATTGCTCTGTGTCTCGTAGTGGGGCATGTAATTTGTTTTCTCGCGAACATAATTCTTTTTGGACAAATCACGGGATTATTTGCTACTACATCATTTGCTGTTGATTGTAATAACCAATATCGAAATTTAACATCTACAATTATCAATAATAGTGGATGTCCTTTTGGTATTGATCTTAATCCATTAAATTATGATCGATTACATAAGTAATTGAATAAAGAATATTTTTATTTTTAATCTTTTGAAATTTTTCATTTGTAGATTATGTCATTACGATAATAAATTTATTTCATCGACATTAGCTCCATTAACGGCTTTATTTCGAGAAAATGTTATGCATCTAGTTTATTTGCTTTTTGGTAAGCCTATTGAATATGATGATTGAAATTAAGAAAAACAAACAATTTGTTATTTCTCTGCGTTTATGTAGGTTTTAGTGTTCTTATATTTCTATGTACTTTTATTGAACGTATCTGTTGGACAACTGCTTCGAAACGGCAGACATCTCGCATGAGTGTTTTACTCTTTCGATCACTTATTCAACGTGTAAGTAAAAATATTTTTTTATACTCATAAAATACTTTATAATTCGTGATTATGAACGATGAAACTAGTTAAAATACAGTTATTCTATTTATTTTTCTTACTCCGTGTCAAACATAAAACAAAACTAAGTAGATCATTTTGATATCGATTTCTAGTTCTCTTTTTTCAAAATATTTCTCTAAGCAAGAAACTAATAATTCTAAAAGCATCGTTAGTATATCAATTAAGTTCTAAAAATAATCAATACAAAATATATAAGAGAGAAGGATAATAATACGAATGAATCTCAAAGATCATGTTGAAGGTAGTTTTAACGTAAAAAAACAGAGAAGTGTATTATTGATACAATTTAGAAATAGTTTAAACTAATTAATTAGAAAATAGTAATGATAATGATAAACTGATATATTTGTTAAACTATGATTTAAGATAAAATAATGTGTTATCTCTCTTTCATTTTTTAGAACATAACTTATTTCGATACAAACCAAACTACTCAATACAATTCGATGCTTTTTAAGTAAGCAAATATAATAATTTTATAACAAATAATTATATATGATCGATTTCCTTTACAGTAATGTTGAAAAGATCAAAAATGGGATGGGTTTCGAATTCTTGATAGTCATTGCACTTATTCTAGGTATGATTTTCAGTATAATCATATGTTTTATTCTCAACTGGAAACTATCTTTAATTATGTCTTGTATAATTCCAATTGTTGTTGGTATTTCATTGACGTTTGCTAAGGTAGAAATTATTATTTAATTCGCTAAAATGTTGATCAATAATTACAGGTCATTACTAAAGAAACAAAAGAACAATTAAGTACATATTCAAAAGCTGGACAAATCGCTCAAGAAGTATTCAGTTCATTAAGAACTGTTCTTTCATTCAATGGAAGTAAATCGGAACAAAAGCAGTAAATAAATAAAAATAGAATTATAGATTATTGTATTATTTATTAAATGTAGATATGACAAAGAATTAAAGTTAACTGAATGGTGTACTGTTCGCAAAGATGCTGCATTGGGTGCTTTATTTGGTTGGTTATTTTTTATATCCTTTATAGTCTATTCAATTGGTTTCACTTTTGGTTCGATTCTTATGTCTTATGGAAATCATCCTACACTGACCATTACTGAGATTCTTATTGTAAGTGAGCTTTAACATCAATATGCAAGAAAGTAACTGAAAAACGAACTTTCGTTTAGGTTGTAAATATGTTTGCACAAGCTTTAAATTATCTTAATTCAATTGGTCCTTTCTTTCAATCAATTTCGGAAGCTCAAGGTGCAGCAGTATCCGTCTTTCGACTTATTGATGAGGTAAAATTAATTGAATACTAGATACTAAACCTTGATCATAATATTTTCTATTTCATTTTTTATGATATAGGTACATGATAAAAATCTGAATGAAGGAGAAATATTGGAAGAGAATATTTCTGATGAAAAATCTATTTCTAATATTAATGGTGATATTGAATTTGATAATGTTAGTTTTTGTTATCCATCTAGAGAAAATGCAACAGCTTTGAATAATCTTAAATTGATTGCTCGTGCTAATCAAACAACTGCTCTTGTAGGTTCAAGTGGCTGTGGTAAATCTTTTTTTTCTAAAACAAACATAACATTTTAATATTG